TATTTTATCATCCATTGCAACACGTCGACAGTTGCATGGTACACCCGTCATTGCAATCAAGTCCGTAGTTATAGACTAACCTTTTTCTGTCTATTGATATCAATGAGGAGGAGTGACGTCATCGTATGCAAGCTTTTAAATGCCATAGGGGATTGCAAGGGAGCAGTTGTTCCTTATGCAACGGTGGGGAGCGGAAGGTAGGGGGGGGTAGGGGGTAGGTAGGGGGTGTGTGTGTTTTCGTAAGTGTGTGTGTGTGGGGGGGGGTGGGGTAGGTGGGGGTGGGTATATGTTTCGTAAGCGTGTGGAGGGGGTTGGGGGGGGGGTAGGTGGGGGTATGTTTCGTAAGTGTGTGTGGGGGGGTGGGGGGTTGGGGTAGGTGGGGGTGGGTATATGTTTCGTAAGCGTGTGTAGGGGGTTGGGTGGGTTAGGTGGGGGTAAGTGTTCGTAAGTGTGTGTAGGGGTTGGGTGGGGGTAGGTGGGGGGTATGTTTGTAAGTGTGTGTGTGGGGGGGTGGGGGTTGGGGGTAGGTGGGTGTGGGTATATGTTTCGTAAGCGTGTGTAGGGGTTGGGTGGGGGTAGTGGGTGTTTCGTAAGTGTGTGTGGGGGGGGTGGGGTAGGTGGTGTGTATATGTTTCGTAAGCGTGTGTAGGGTGTTGGGGGGGTAGGTGGTATGGAATGTGTGTGTGTGTGTGTGTGTGTGTCATCGAATCTTTTGAATCCATGTGTATATAGATGGGTATGTGTTTTCTGTCTGTGTTTTTTATGCATGTACATGTTTGGAAAGTATGTATATGTTAATGGGTGTTTATATGTGTGTCCTTTTAGGTGTGCGTCTGTGTGTGTGTGTGTGTGTGTGTGTGTGTATGTGTTGTGTTTGTGTGTGTGTGTGTGTGTGTGTGTGTGTTGTTGTGTGTGTGTGTGTGTGTGTGTGTGTGTGTGTGTGTGTGTGTGTGTGTCTGTGTGTGCTGTATGTTTGTGTGTGAGGATGCGATTTCATGTGTATATTTGTATGTGTCTTATGTACTGTGTTTTGGAGAGTGTATGTATAGACTTGTGCACATATGTGTGTGTGTGTTTGTGTGCCTGCTTGTGTGTATTTTCAATGTGTGTGTGTCTTCTGCCACCCTCTTCCTCCTGTGTGTACGTCTTTTGTCTGTGTACATGCATACGTGTGTGTCTTCTCCTCTTCCTCCTCCTATTCCTGTCATTCTCCCTCTTCTCTTCCTCTTATTCCTCCTTCTCCTCCTCCTCCTCCTCCCCTTTCATTTTCCTCACCCCCTCCTCCTCCTCCTCGCACTCCTCCTTCCTACTATTCTCCTCTGCCCCCCTCCTCCTCCTTCTTCTTCTTCTCCTATTCCCCTTCTTTTTTACCTTCCTCCTCTTCTCCTCCATCCCTCATCCTTTTTTTCATCTTCCTCTCTTCCTCCTCCTCCATCCCTCATCTTTTTTTTACATTCCCCCTCTTCCTCCTCCTCTTTCTCCTCCATCCCCCATCTTTTTTACCTTCCTCTTCCTCCTCCATCCCTCATTTTTTTTAACCTTCCTCTTTTCCCTCCTCCTCTTCCTCCTCCTGTTTTTTTTTTTCTCCTCCTTTTTATGAGCCTCACTTCCTACACTACTTTCTTTGATTAATCTCCCTTTTTGCCCCAACAGCTGAGCAGCGACCTTATCCCCATTCTTTTGTTTTGTCAAGACAGCTGATCACGACACAATAAAACGACCGATTCTTTTGTTTTGTCAAGACAGCTGATCACGACACCACGACACAACAAAACGATAATCTGCACCAATCCATCGATATTACCAATGATAACATGACGCTAATCTGTTACAATGCAATGGCAGTATCAATGATAATATCAGTATGTTATGGTAATATCAATGGCTGTATCAGTGATAATATCAGTCTGTTAGAGTACAATGATAGGGTCAATGATAGTAATAATCTTCAATGATAAGGTGATAATGTCAATAAGATGAATGCTATGTAAGAGAACGAAGATAATGTCAGTAATAATGATGATGTGCAAGAGAACGATGAAAATGTCAATAATGATGTGGATAAGTCTGCAAAAAGAGGATAGTGTCAATGATGGACTGATGATCTGTCGTGAGAGGAGAGGTGAGTGTGCTTTTATTTTGATAACTGAAAAAAAAACAAAAACAGAAAATAAAAATAAAAAGTGGAATGTGTTTTGATATCTGTAAAAAAAAAAACAAAAAACAAATAGAAAATAAAAATAAAAAAAGTGGAATGTTTTGATATCTGTAAAAAACAAAACAAAAAAAAATAGAAAATAAAAATAAAAAGTGAAATGTGATATCCTCAATTGCTTACGTCACTATTCTTTATTTCTTTAATGAAAGGATAATAAGGGCTGGTTTGTTGACATTTTCCAATCCATACGTAATTGGAATGAATAGTGAATGAATAGATTTGTAAATAAACTAGAAGCATTCAGAGAGCGCATACCTCCGCCAGGGCCAATACGGTCCCTGA